GAGAGAGAGAGAGAGAGAGAGAGAGAGAGAGAGAGAGAGAGAGAGAGAGAGAGAGGAACGAAGGATGACAGACAAAAGGACAACCGAGGAACTCACCGCAATGGTGGTTACTGATTGACCGAGTTGGGCTTTGACCTTGGTCTGAACTAGATCCCCACACACAGACACAGAGAGAGAGAGAGAGAGAGAGAGAGAGAGAGAGAGAGAGAGAGAGAGAGAGAGAGAGAGAGAGAACTCACGAAAGATGACAGACAAAAGGACGACGACCGAGGAACTCACCGCGATGGTGGAGATGGCGATTGATTGATCGAGGCGGGCTTTGACCTTGGTCTGAACGAACTCCCGAGATGAGTTGTAGTCGGAGGCAAGCGTAGCTATGTCCGTGAGATGAACAGGGATCACGACATCGATTCCCGTCCCCGCCAGCGAGTCGATGAGCGCCACGGCTGCGGGAGTATCCACAAAATCGCCGAACAATTTGACCGAAGACGCCTTGATCTTCTGTACGATTTCCAAAATCTTGCTCGCATTAATCTGAGTGGAGCTGTAGCCGAATCCGACATTCACGCCCACCCCCAATGTTGCCGAGGGCGGAGGTGATGACGATGGTGGAGTTGTTGGCAGTGATGGTGGAGGAGGAGGGGTGCTTGAGAGTGATGCTGGAGCTGATGGTGATGGAGGAGGAGGTGTTGATGTGGGAAGACTGACAATGGATGGAGCGGGGGAAGACTTGCTGGGCTCGACGGGGAGGGATGGAGAAGGAGAAGGAGAGGGCCCGACATCTTCAGGAGGTGGGGCAAGCAGCCGTTGATCTGGCAATCGAGGGTAGCCGTGGGATGGTTGTGCTGATGCATCTGATGCATCTGATGATGATAATCGTCTTGACGACCGTGAGGATGCCACTGAGGATATTGTAGTAGGTATACTAGTACTATCAGTACTCGTAGTAGTAGTAGTAGTAGTAGTAGTAGTAGTAGTAGCAGTAGTTCTAGTAGTACACTGGCAGGTGCTAGTACTACTAGGAGTTGTAGTAGTAGTAGTAGTAATACTAGTGGTACTAATACGAGGAGGAGGAGGAGGAGGAGGAGGAGGAGGAGGAAGAGTGGTTGTGGTGGTGCTAGGTTCAGCAGATGACGGATAGGATGAAGATGGGTAGGCGGCAGCAGGATGGGCTTGGGCGCATGCAAAAGAGACAATCTGCTTGGCTCCCTCTCTCCATCTCCACCACCTGATGAGGTTTATGTCATCGCAACCACCATAACCCGAGAGGAGAAGGAAAAGAACCCACAGTGGCCATTGGAAGAGATCGTGATGACTACTTGGGCTTGTTGTGTTCCTCATCTCGCTCATATACAGTATTATATTCGTTGCTCCCACTCGCCTAATACTATAATCGTATATCGGGAGTATGCCCTCAAGCCTGATCTTCGTAAACCCGTCTAAGCTACTAGCACGCAGTGTGGCTACCTTCTTCCCCCGAATACAACGTACGGTCATTATAGCTGTATTTAGACTGAAAGATACGCCAAATTCAGCTATAATGACAGTACGTTGTATTCTGGGGAAGAAGGTAGTATGGAGACACCACACATCACGGAGCCTATAAATAGACCAAGAACAGTGAAGAAGAAGAAGAAGAAGAAGAAGAAGAAGAAGAGGGGGAGGAGAGGGTAAGAAGAAGAAGAAGAAGAAGAAGAAGAAGAAGAAGAAGAGGAGGAGGAGGAGGAGGAGGAGGAGAAGTATGTTTACCAGGGATTACACCGGGTTGATTGTGTCTGCTGTATTGAGATTAGGGCGAAGAAAAGGAGGGGAGGAGGAGGAGGAGGAGGAGGGTCACCCAGAATTACACAGGCGATAGATTAGGTTATCGTGGTTGCATAGTATCTGTTTTGCTCGTAGTGGCAACGACTGCCAACGGGGAAGAAAATGCAGATACAGAAGGAGGGAAAAAAAAGAAAAAAAAAAAGGAGAAATTGTAAAAAAAAGTCATTGATTTCTGATAGATGGGCCTCGGTCTCAATCCTCGCTCAATCTTCTGGTCGTCCTACAGCGTTGAGTTTTCTCAACGCTGAGCTTTCTATCACGTGTGGCATGGTGGGACGGAGCTCTGCCGTTGATGTATTGCGAATCTAACGGTACCTAAATACAGGAGAATAACCTATTAGATTTAGTCATTTTGTAGAATTTTTTTTTGACGTGAAATCCGTTTTGTAGTATGCGTTGGCCCTTTTGGTTTGGGCGGGAAGCCATTTTCCGTTGAGAAAACTACCCTACCGAGGGTAGGGTACGTTTCTCAACTTCAGTGCCTTTCCTTTTTTTTGTTTTTTTAGTCCTCATTGCATCCTGAAACGGAGGAACTCTGACAGCTGTGTTTGGCTGTCTGGCATCAAACTCGTTTCCTTCTTTGGGCAATGAATGCATTTGGCCATCCACGTCGTCCCTGTCCATTTTACAAATGGTGACCTCCTGTCCCCTCACCACGGGGAGTATCCTTTTTTCACGGAGACGTTCACTCCGACTGTTCCAGACATGTTTCATTTCTCGGAGTTACGTTATAAAAAATCAAGAGAAAAGCTGTTTCTAGCATTTTTTTCAGTTTTTTTATTTCTTGTTTCGAATATTTTAATGTCGAAATGGCGTCGTACCGTTGAGTTTTCTGAACTCAACAACCGTAGGTGGGACCAGACCCCTGAGGGCGCTGCCGACGAAAAGGGTTAATTTCAAAACTTAAAATTATATTCCCTTCCCTAGGTTCCCCAGCAGCAATATCGTCGTCTGGAATTTTTCTTTGCAAAAATATATCCTTCATGGCCCTCATTGGCAGCTTTACCGGGGGCCAAGTCCCACTTACACGAATTCTCAAAGGCTGCCCGTAGATTCTACAGATCAACGGCCAGAAATGAACAATCAGCGTAAGTGGGACTTGGCCCCGGGTTCCCCAAGTTTCGATTCGGAAGCAGAAATGTCGTTCCAAACTGAGTTTCCCAGGATAGGACTCGTAGAGTCGTAGTCCTCTGGCCTCAGGTACTCAGGAACTCTGGCCTCAGTCCTCTGGCCTCAGGTACTCAGGAACTCAGGCCTGAGGCCAGAGACCCACCCACAGAGATTTCGCCAGCAGAGATTTTGTTAAAAGGGACATTTTATAGTCTTTGTACAAAATTAACACCCACTTGTTTGACCCTGAAAATGTCACGGTTTAGCTGCTTGGGGTCCCCCTTGGATGTACCTGAACTTCAATTAAGTCCAAATGGACGGTGAGGAGATGAAAGGTGATATTTTTTGGGCCAAATAAGGAGGTTTCAATTTCGTTCGAAAAATATAAAATGTCCGTTTTGACGAAATCGTTTTTTCACGTGATATTTTTTGGGCCAAATAAGGAGGTTTCAATTTCGTTCAATAATATAAAATGTCCAATTTGATGAAGTCGTTGTTCACCGCCGTACCCGCCTGGAAACAAACGAGTCATGACTGCGGGCACAGCCTTTGTCTGTGGATCCGAGGGATTGGGCATGGGAGCATCCTCTTGCTCCCCAGAAAATGATGAATTCATATCAATATTCAACGAGATTAGGATATCAACTTACTCGCCCTCCAATTATAGACATAGGATGGCGGATAACTAGAATATGGATTGCTTCTGGATGGGTGCAGGACACCGCAGTGAGGTTGGTGTCAGAACGATTGCTGCGTTTTTGGAGACTGTTGATGGATCTGTGTGTAGTCAGGGCACACTCACACTTCCACGTATTTTCGCAAAATCGCAAATTTTACGTAGTTTTCGGGGTCACAAGAGGCACGTATTTTCCGTGTTCACACAAAAGGGCACGTAAATGTCAGCGGCCTGGACAGCCGCGGGGCTTACATATTTTGTGGGTACCTACCTCCAGAGGTCCCCGCAAAATCGTATTTCTTTTTCCTCTACTGCTTTCCGGAAGGAAAAAAAAAAAGAAAAAAAAAAGTGCATTGTGCTGTCTGACTGCAGACAACGTATTTTCGCATCTCAAGGCCTTGAGAGGTGGCGACCCTGTCTTTTCTGCTTTGTGCATTGGGCAACAAACGGGTGACCAGTGTGGCCCGCAGGTGACATATAAACACAAATTCACATACGTAAATTTGCGGAAGTACGTGCTCGTGTGAGTATGCCCTCAAACAAGTGAGTTCTTTTTTGTGGCAAATTATGCACCTTGCGGTCCCGACTGCGAGTTGGTGTGCCAAAAAAAACTTCCAGAGCATCGCCGCTGTGTGTTCTGTGTGAAGACATAAGAATTGAGGACCTCCAAAATATGTTCCTTCACTGCCGACTGTCTGCACCTTTCTGGGAGTGGTGGCGAGGAGGCTCGGTGTCTGTGCCACAGACCTCTCGAGATGGTCAGAGGATCCTTTTGTCTTGCTAGGGAACGCATTGCGGGGTGCAGTGCTTTGACGACTCGTTGGACTCTCAGAAATTCAGCAGTCAGAAGTGGAGAATGGCTCACCCCCCCGATGATAAGAGCACAGGTCAAATATAACATCAAGCAGGCTATCGCTACAGATTGGACACACAAAGTAGTAAATACAGGATACCGGACCAAACCGATGAATCGGTTCCCCTCTCATTGGATGCAGTTCCCAGATCTGGTTAAGGTTTCAGTGCAACTGCAGTCAGGACCGGAGTTGACCTTTTCGTCCTTGTTTTTTTGAAGATTTTTGTTCCTCTGTATGCCCTTTTAATGTCTCTCTTTTGCATCCTTCTATGCATTCTTCTATGCATCCTTCTATGCATCCTTCTTTTCGTCTTTTTTCTTCCTACTGACGTCTAGTCTCAGTTGTAATTGTACTAGTTGTAATGTAGTTGGTTTTTTTTTTTTTTTTTTTTTTTTTTTTTNTTTTTTTTTTTTTTTTTTTTTTTTTTTTTTTTTTTTTTTTTTTTTTTTTTTTTTTTTTTTTTTTTTTTTTTTTTTTTTTTTTTTTTTTTTTGGTACTTGTAATTGTAGTTTGTAAAAGTTCATATTGTATTTTACCTGATTGGTTGAGGGATAGGTTAAGGTAGGTCTCAGTAGAAGAGTAGGATAAGTTTGGAGACAGCGATGATGTTGTTGGGTATTTGGTGATGGTTGGTAATAAGATAAGAACAACAAGTCAGAAACGAGGTCTGACCACACGCTTGCATACACGGCCGTGCTACTCATGGCAAGAGTCGTATGCGAAAACAATCTCGAAACTAGTTCCCAAAGGACAGATATGAGCGAGATAGCATAACAAACGTAGCAAAGGTTACGGTATCACCTCCTTTCCTCCGCCATGAAAAGAGTGAAACGCTTGAGGATGGAAGCGCCTGGCATCCACGACTAGTTTCAGCAGCCACCAGATAGCGGCCTCATCAGGCGGATTTCGAGATGGCTACTACGCTACAGTACTAATCCACTTATACTCATCGCGCTGGTTCCGATTTCCCTGAGAGCTCGGCCAAGCGGGCGTCGAGGCCGAAAACCTTACCGCCCTTCCCGATCGAAGGGCACATTGCCCAGGTTTCCCGCCCACTTGTCAGAGCGGGGTCATGTCAGTTCAGCCCAATAGTTTCCTCAGTGTTCCCGCGCGGCCTGATATTTCCTTCATCTCATTATTATCGTGGTTCGAGTACCGCGTTTTTTCGTCGGCTTCAGGTCCCTCCCCTGCCTCGTTTCGTTGCCCAGGTTCAGGTACCACGTTTTTCAATAGCCGTGCTCACGACCTCACAGCTTTCAATACCCCTGCATCGTTACATAACTCCCTACAAGGTAGCCGTATTCCCGCCATGCTTACCACCTCTGTAGTTATTCCTCACCTCCTACCAACTACCAAACCTGCACCGCCATTTCTCCCACGATGGGGCGCGTCTGTTCACAAACTTCGCCAGGCAGTCATTAAACAGCCAGGCAGGATAGTTCTGCAAGCGCAGTTGTCTTTTTGTCGTTAGCAATCCCAACCCTGGCAGTTCATCTGAAGTCGACATACTCCGGATTCGATGCAGCATGCAGGTGATGACCGCCTTCTTTTGTCTCAACGTGGAGAATGATTCGAAATCTTGGAAGGTACGATAGGAGAGACTCTCTTTCTCCCGCCATACTTGATCAAAATTCTTTGGAATGATCTGGCACGACACAAGGTTCCTTCTGATTTTCATGCGCGTTCCCAGAAACTCCCAAGCGCCCTCCCCCTCGTCCATTCGTTTTAAGAACACTTTCTGGTCATACGCTTTTTCAAACGTCCCCAGAATCCTTTCTTGGCGACTTCCACCATTCCTCAGCGGGCACCAGATGAGGATTGTGACGTCGTCCATCAACCTTATTCCTCTGACCAGGCTCCGATCCGCACCCAACCCTGCCAAAAAATGGAACATGTTCATTGCACACAATATGCATGCCAGTGGGGGGCTACTGCTTTTCCCCATTGGGATGCCAACATGCTGCTGGACAAGTCTTCCGGACGCCGATACGTAGGTATGCTTCAACTCGAACTCAACCATCCCTCTGATTAGCTCAAAGCTCACCTCCAACCAAAAATCATTACCATTCTTTCTTGCGAACGCCGCACCCTTGCCCCTACGTCTAATGCTAACYATCGTACRACYCTTTCCTMTGTACCAAGCAAGGAGCCAGTCTACGGCGTTCATGATGGAGTCRTGGGGCAGTTGGCTGAACATTTCCTTAATGTCAAATGCTGCCCCCACTAAMTCACCCTTACCTTTCCTTCCGACCCATTTGTTAACTTCCATAACCCGATCCCTTAGCAGGCCAGTGGACTTCAGATTAAAATGCATGGATTTAGGCAAGCAGAATAGCAAATGGTTCAATGCCCTGGCCACACGTCCACTCGTTGTCTTGTAAGGCTCAGAGAAGGAGGGGCTGATCGACCAAAACTTGCATATATCCTTATGCTTAGGGATAATATAGGCTCGACCGGTTGTCCCCTGCTTGTCCCACCTCCCTAATCCGTCCAACTTCCCTGCTTTAAAGTCCACTTCACACTTGCTTAACAACATCTTCTCCTCTTCCCATACAGTGTTGAAACTCTCGTTTCCCCAGAAAATGTCCTTCATGCCTTTTGCATAAACCTCATGACACATCACAGCCGTGTCTAATGTGTTCCGATCAATTGCACAGCACACCAGGCCACGATATAGATTTTTTACTTCCTGTACCAGATTCCCATGATCCGCCTTTACGCCCACGTTCCGGTTCACACATTTCACAATATCCCCCCTGCCAACGACTGACCTCAAACCCATTTTTCCCAAACAGTCATTCACTTCCGTCAGCATTCTGTCTTTCTTCACTCCCCCTACACACATAATATTTCGGGCGTTCAGGACAATCCCTTGCATGCCTTGGACTTCACTCAGCCTGCACAATACGTGACCCTCCCTCCTTGGCAGGGCTCTGTCTGCACAGCAACAGACCCCAACCGACTGCTGTGAGGCAGCACGGTGGTTATGAATAACCTCGCCAACGGATGGAGTACGTTTCCATACCATCAGGAGTTTATGACATGCATATTCGGCGAGCGGTTCCAGCAATTCTTCCCGAAACTTCGAACATACCACTTCACGCAGCTTCCGCTGTGACAGACTTGGATCATACATAGTTCCCACACACAACCTCATTCTAACATTAAAACTAAATTTTTGCCTAATAACCCCGGCCAGAACTTACTTCAACGTTTTTCTGCTCCCTTCTCTTGAAAAGAGATTTGCTGCACTCAGAAGCTTCATAAGCCTTGCCAAATCGTAGTTATATAGTTTCTTCTTATGCCAGGGGTTACGAATTAGCTGGTGCAGCTCACGCTTCATCATGCTGCTGCTTTTTGACAGACTCTTTGTTTGCAGCCTCACAATTTGAAAGACTACTCCCTGCTCCAATCTTGACTTGATTTTCTGAATTAGTTGTTGTTCGTTGCCAATCATAACAACTGACTCACCAATCTCCTTCACTACCTTTCTCCACTTATGAACCCACAGTCTTCCCCCTTCCGTTTTCACCAACTTAGTTTCCTCCCATGCTCGCCTACACACATCTGTCAGATTAGTAGACCGGACTTCACCTGATTCAAAAACCATTGGTCGATCCAAGCAATAGGCCAAAGATCTCGCTTTTCTTCTTTCTTTTCTGCCTTTTCTTTTGGTTCACTTGCCAGCTTTCTTTACCCCCTTAGCGTTCAGTGCGGGGCACCACTTCCCAATAAACGCTCTCTCCACTCTCGCCAAATCACTAGCAGGGACAAACGCGACAGGTAAGGCAATATAGTGAGAAGAACAATGGTTTCTTAACCAGCTATATAGCTTGGAGTTTCGTGCTCCATCCGGGTGGTCCGTACGGTATATATGTTCATCCCATCGGGTTAGCAACAACCTACTAGTTTGGCCGATATAGACGGCTCGAACCCCCGGATCGATTAGCACATACACACATGACTCCGGCTCTTCCCAGTCTGTTAACTTATTATCAATGAAGTTCAACCAATTACCTAGAAATTTACTACCCCACTGAACCCCTCCATTCAAAACAAGCAACACAAATAGATATCTTAGCACGCTTTCGAGCACTTCACGAAGTCGATGGTTCCTTAGCACGGGCTCGGCCGCGCATAGTTTACGCAGTTCCAAATACTTGGCGAGCTCATTCCACCGGGTACTCGTTACGTTGGCCATTACTCCCAGGCCCGGGTTCGGATCTCCGAGCTGGCTGGTCACGTTCCGTCACCTGGACGTCTCGGATGACGATGTCACCTCCTCGTGGTCTTGGAGTTGCTGCCCTCGCTTGCTGCGGCGCTCGTTCGGTGCTGAAGTACATAACTCTCAGCTCTATCAGCTCGTCTGTAGCATCAGGTCGACCTCGGTAGACTACCCCCGCCTCCCTGCGCATTTTCTGAATCGTTGGCTTCGTCTTCTTAGGCAGGAACTTACGAAGTGCTTTACGCAGTGCCACTACCGAAGTGAAGTCACTGGCCGCAGGTGCACCTTCCCACAAGGCAGATTCCTGCAGTGGGAATCCCAGTTGTTCTGTACCGGTCCGGTCTCGTCTGCTCGGCACCCGAAGGCAATGAGACTCATCCTGGCGGGGAGTGCCTGGAGGTTCGAAAGTCGAGGCCCTCCCTACCTTCGAAGGCGATTTGCCAGGCGGGCTGGCTTGACACGCCAAAGCCGGAGGTTGCCGCTTGTGTTTCTCGAGACGCTCCTCCGCAGGATCCTCCTCCTCCTCGTCTGAACTCATCTCGGCCACTGCTGCTTTACCTTTCACCGCTTTTTCGGATACAACGGTCTTCTGCAGTTTCTTGTCGAACATCTTCTCGAATTCTTCTCTCAATGTTGCCTTTTGTTTTGCCAGCAGCATTTCCAGCTTCCACTCCTGGTCCGCTTCTTTCTTTTCTTTAGCTTTCTTTTCCCCAACTCAATGCGATTCCTCTCCTCTCTTACTCGTTTCTCCTCCTCCTGTTGTTTCTTTCGTTCTTCCGCTTCCCTTTGCTCGGTCTCGCGTCGTTGTTCCATTTCGATATGCCTTTGCGAAAACAGGCATACCGCCTTGAGTGATTCCTCCAACTCCCGACTAATCCCAATCATATTTGTTGCCTCCCCTGTCAACGAAGAGTTACTTGCTCCATTGCTACTACGTCCTCCGTTCCAACCTCCTCCACCGCCATTGCTGTCGTTGTTCCAATTGCCGCCACCTTGGTTCTGCCGAGGCGCGTTGCATTCCCGGGCAATGTGACCGAACTGGTTGCAATTGTAGCAGCGAGCAGACCTCTGCCAATCGCCACTGTTGCCGCCATTACCGTTCCCCCCGCTGCCCCCGTTGTTCCAATTCCCACTATTGTTCCAGTTCCCATGGCTGCCTCCATTCCAATTGCCGCCATTACCCTCATTTCTACCTCCTCCGTTACCGTTTCTACCTCCCGAGTTACCACCTCCACTGTTAACACCGTTTCCGCTGCCCCCATTACCACCGTTGCTCCCGCCGTTGTCGTTATTGCCGCCGCCTCCATAGCCGATGTTACCGCCCCCACCATTCCAGTTGTTCCCCTCCGCCGTTTCCACCGTTCCCGCCATTCCACCCACCACCATTCCCTCCACCGCCGTTTCCGCCATTCCAATTACCATTCTGATCCCCGCCAGTTGCCATTGCTAAGTCCAGCTCCTTGCTGAAGATCGTCTTCTCGCAGCTCACAGTATCGTGTTTTTCCCGTCGCGTGAACAGCTAAACAGCTAAAAACTACAGGGCCACCAAAGCGCAGGTAGATCGTCCTGGCAGGTTGCCTCTGCCGGTACTAGATAAGAACAGCAAGTCAGAAACGAGGTCTGACCACACGCTTGCATACACGACCAAGCTACTCATGGCGAGAGTCGTATGCGAAAACAATCTCGAAACTAGTTCCCAAAGAACATATATGAGCAAGATAGCACAACAACCGTAGCAAAGACTACGGTATCACCTCCTTTCCTCCGCCATGAAAAGAGTGAAACGCTTGAGGATGGAAGCGCCTGGCATCCCCGACTAGTTTCAGCCGCCACCAGATAGCGGCCTCATCAGGGGGATTTCGAGATGGCTACTACGCTACAGTACTAATCCACTTATACTCATCGCGCTGGTTCCGATTTCCCTGAGAGCTCGGCCAAGTGGGCGTCGAGGCCGAAAACCTTACCGCCCTTCCCGACCGAAGGGCACATTGCCCAGGTTTCCCGCCCACTTGTCAGAGCGGGGTCATGTCAGTTCAGCCCAGTAGTTTCCTCAGTGTTCTCGCGCGGCCTGATATTTCCTTCATCTCATTATTATCGTGGTTCGAGTACCGCGTTTTTTCGTCGACTTCAGGTCCCTCCCCTGCCTCGTTTTGTTGCTCAGGTTCAGGTACCACGTTTTTCAATAGCCGTGCTCACGGCCTCACAACTTTCAATACCCCTGCATCGTTACGTAACTCCCTACAAGGTAGCCATATTCCTGCCATGTGAATAGTATGGTGACACCACACATCACGGAGCCTATAAATAGACCAAGAACAGTGAAGAAGAAGAAGAAGAAGAAGAAGAAGAAGAAGAAGAAGAAGAAGAAGAAGAAGAAGAAGAAGAGGGGGAGGAGAGGGTAAGAAGAAGAAGAAGAAGAAGAAGAAGAAGAAGAAGAAGAAGAAGAAGAAGAAGAAGAAAAAGAAGAAGAAGAAGGAGAAGAAGAAGAGGAGGAAGAGGAGAAGGAGGAGTATGTTTACCAGGGATTACACCGGTTTGATTGTGTCTGCTGTATTGAGATTAGGGCGAAGAAAAGGAGGGAGGAGGAGGAGAACACGAAGGAGGAGACGGATGTGAGAGGAGGAGGAGGAGGAGGAGGAGGAGGAGGAGGAGGAGGAGGACCACCCGAAATTACACAGGCGATAGATTAGGTTATCGTGGTTGCATAATACATGTTTTGCTCATAGTGGCAACGACTGCCAACGGGGAAGAAAATGCAGATAAAGAAGGAGGAGAAAAAAAAAAAAAAAGGGAAAAATTGTAAAAAAGTCGTTGATTTCTGATAGATGGGCCTCAGTCTCAATCTTCCTGAGGGCGCTGCCGGCGAAAAGGGTTAATTTCGAAAATTAAAATTATATTGCCTTCCCTAGGTTCCCCAGCAGCAATATCGTTGGCTGGAATTTTTCTTTGTAAAAATATGTCCTTCATGACACTCATTGGCAGCTTTACCGGGGGCTAGGTCCCACTTACATGAATTAAGCGATATTGACCGTAGATAGCAAAGATCAACGGCCGGAATCACTTAATCCGTGCAAGTGGGACCTTGCCCCGGGTTCCCCAAGTTTCGATTCGGAAGCAGAAATATCGCTCCAAACCGAGTTTCCCAGCATAGGACTCGTAGAGTCGTAGTCCTCTAGCCTCAGGTACTCAGGAACTCAGGCCTCAGGCCAAAGACCCACCAACAGAGATTTCGTTAAAACGAACATTTTATATTTTTTGTACAATTTTAGAACCCACTTGTTTGGCCTTGAAAATGTCACGGTTTAGCTGCTTGGGGTCCCCCTTGGATGTACCTGAACTTAAGTCCAAATGGACGGTGAGGAGATGAAAGGTGATATTTTTTGGGCCGAATAAGGAGGTTTCAATTTCGTTCGAAAAATATAAAATGTCCGTTTTGACGAAATCGTTTTTCACGTGATATTTTTTGGGCCAAATAAGGAGGTTTCAATTTCGTTCGAAAAATATAAAATGTTCGTTTTGACGAAATTGTTGTTCACCAGCGTACCTCCCTGGAAACAAACGAGTCGTGATTGCGGGCACATCCTTTGTCTGTGGATCCGAGGGATTGGGCATGGAAGCATCCTCTTGCTCTCCAGAAAATGATCAGTTCGTATCAATTTGTATCAATATTCAACCAGATTGGGATATCAACTTACTCGCCCTCCAATTATAGACATAGGATGGCGGGTAACCAGAAGGTGGATTGCTTCTGGATGGGTGCAGGACACCGCAGTGAAGTTGGTGTCAGAACGATTACGGCGTTTTGGAGACTGTTGATGGATCTGTGTGTAGTCAGGGCACACTCACGCTACCACGTATTTTCGCAAAATCGCAAATTTTACGTAGTTTTTCGGGTTACAAGAGGCACGTATTTTCCGTGTTCACACAAAAGGGCACGTAAATGTCAGCGGCCTGGACAGCTGCAGGCTTACATATTTTGTGGGGACCTACCTCCAGAGGTTCCCGCAAAATCGTATTTCTTTTTCCTCTACTGATTTCTGGAAGCAAAAAAAAAAAGGAAAAAATAATGCATTGTGCTGTCTGACTGCAGACAATGTATGTTCGCATCTCAAGGCCTTGAGTGGTCACGACCCTGTCTTTTCTGCTTTGGGCAACAAACGGGTGACCAGTGTGACCCGCAGGTGCCATATAAACACAAATTCACATACGCCAAATTTGCTGAAATACGTGCTAGTGTGAGTATGCCCTCAAACAAGCGAGTTTTTTTTTGTGGCAAATTATGCACCTTGCGGTCCCGACTGCGAGTTGGTGTGCCAGAAAAAAATGTCCAGAGCATCGCCACTGTGTGTTCTGTGTGAAGGCATAAGAATTGAGGACCTCCAAAATATGTTCCTTCACTGCCGATTGTCTGCACCTTTCTGGCAGTGGTGGCGAGGAGGCTCGTTGCCTATGCCACAGACCTCCTCGAGATGGTCAGAGGATCATTTTGTCTTGCTAGGGAACGGGTCTCTTCGACAAACATCTATTGGACTCTTGGGGTATGCAAAGGACACATTGCGGGGTGCAGTGCTTTGACGACTCGTTGGACTCTCAGAAATTCAGTAGTCAGAAGTGGGGAATGACTCACCCCCCCGATGATACGAGCAAAGGTCAAATATAACATCAAGCAGGCTATGGCTAAAGATTGGACACACAAAAGTAGTTAATACAGGATACCGGACTAAACCGATGAATCGGTTCCCCTCTCATTGGATGCAGTTCCCAGATCTGGTTAAGGTTTCAGTGCATCTGCAATCGGGACCGAAGTTGACCTTTTCGTCCTTGTTTTTTTGAAGATTTTTGTTCCTCTATATGCCCTTTTAATGTCTCTTTTTTGCATCCTTCTATGCATTCTTCTATGCATCCTTCTATGCATCCTTCTTTTCGTCTTTTTTCTCCCTACGGACGTCTAGTCTCAGTTGTAATTGTACTAGTTGTAATGT